TATGTCTTAGGCTGAGTAGGACCTTATATCCACTTTCAAATAAACACTTGGGGACGAACGCTTATATTATAAACCATAAGGTTTTCCAATTTCATGGTGACATCGAAAGTGTTTAAATTCAATTAAACTAAAACTTTTTTCTATGAAAGAAATCCCAACAGGATGATGGGTATTGCATAGTTCATTGGTTTAGAACTAGAAGTCAAGTTCTTTGGATGCTTGTTGTCAATCGCATCTTACCACATCCTGTATAATGTACATTAATTAATTATTATTCAAATGAAATTGTAAGAGAACTTACCAATCAGAACTCGCACTCCTTGAATAACTTATAAATTCTTGTCTGAGTGTCTGCCGCCCTAAGATGAAGATGAATTTCCTTCCAAATGTGCTCTACGACTCATCTTCAGGAACGATCAGATGATCGAATCTGCCTGTTCGGGTTGTCGCCGATTAATGAATAGAAAAGACACCCGACCGCCAGTGTTCAAGTTGTTGGAAACATGGACAAAAATAGTTTTGTTTTTCCGCGATTCTTCCGGCAATGTCAAGCACCGGCTGCCTGCTTTGCTAATGATGGGAAACGCGCCTGAGGGCCCAAGGGTATGTCCGATACGTAGAGAGTGAGACCACAAATGGGTCTGAGCTCTTCACCGGCACGAAACGGCTTCGGTCTCTCGTCGAAGTTCCACCATGGGGGGAAGGGTTCCCCGAAGGATACCGTGCCTCACTGGAATTTGAGTGGAAAAGATAATGTAGTTGAAATGCTGTTCAGGGAACTTAGCTAGACAGAAACCAAAATGGGCTGGTTCATACTTTACGCGAAAGCGGACAAAACGTGGATTTATGAGGGCAGATCAAATATTCGCACTATGAATTCGCAAAAATTGAGCACATCTCAACACGAGCGAAATTTCGCTGCATATCTTTTGTGACGTCAAATTCGCTCCGCTTTCACGTATACACGTTCGCCTGTGGTATGAAGCAGCCTTAAAGCTGTTACAGCAAGACTATCGAGAACAAACAGATGAAGTACCAGTTTACAGTTGTTTGAAATTGCAATCAAACACAGACGGACAAACAGTTCTTCAATATTTTTAACAAAGCTAAAGGAGTTTTATGGTACGTCGTTGATGTTTAGCAGCCCTTTTAGTGTGCCGTAAGGGTACAGTCTCAAATAACACTGAGGTGATGCTTGAAGGGGCTGAGGTATATGGGGCCCACCTTTCTCCGCACCCACGCCGTCTGCATTCTCATCCAGCCTAATAGAATTAAGTTTACAGGTTTAATACCCCCTCCTTCCTGTCTTTGGGGTTAGGTTTTGTTTTTTGAGCCGCATGACCTTTGCTTTTGCTCTATCCCAGGGGAATCACGCAGGTCAGCCAGTGCACCCTATAACTATAACTATGCTTGTCGGAGCATGACCGGAAATCAGTTTTGCCCAGGGGCTAACTTGAAGATGCATCATTTCAAAAGTGATCACACCTCTTGGGTGGGCAGCCCGGTGGAAAGATGGGGGCTGCATATGCTCATATCAATCTGTGTTCGTAACAAGACATCACCTTTAATATTTGATACAGGGATAACGTACTTGAAATCCATGAGGTCCGATTACAATACCATCTGGGTCTTCCTATATCTGGAAATGCGGCCAGGATGCCAGACCAGGGATCAGGTCGGGTCCAGGTCAAATTCAAGGCTTGGGGATACGCGAGGGCAGAGGGAATAATAGAAGCCACATCTGCAATTATCACTACGAATATAGACGGCATAGTGGACTGGGAAATGGACAGTGCCACTTCCATGGGGGGGGGGTATTAAGCTTGAATGAAAGGAAGGAGTGGTACTGAGCACTGTAAAAAAAATGGTTCCGCCTCCACAAATTTAGTTGACCTTCGACCTTTGCATCACGTGGTTGCATCCATTATCAGCAGAATATTTCCCGGAAGTCGATCGGAGCAAAGTGCAGCCACCAATCCGGAATGTTCTGTCTGCAAGCAGCCTTTGCGCCTCTCTTAACCTTTAATGCATCCTGGTTTGTTTGTTTTTTTGGGGGGGTTGAGTTTTGTTTTGTTTTGTTTTGTTTGTTGTTGTTGTTGTTTTTTGGTTCGTACACGATGAAAGGAAAAAACGCCGTTTAGCTCTCAGATTGAAGCTTTTAGGGGTTTAATTACAGAGAAAGATGATTTTGCGGACAACCCAATTGTACATGTTCTGTTCTTGCTGCCTTGATCATTCATCGCCTGGTCATCTGTGATTTTTTTACTGGACCCCCTGGACAGTCCGGTCAGGCGACCGACTTGAGCCGGCCAGAGCTGCACCTCCAGTTTTTGGGTTAAAAATCTCGCTTGAAATCCCCTGAATCATTACAGTGTGCCATTGAGTGAGCTAAGTCGGCTAATTTATGCTGGCATCCGGAGTATGATAAGTAAAATCACGGTTGGTTGGTTGGTTGATCCTACTTTGGGAGTTAGTCTCGAAGGGTCTTTGAAAGCATAATGGTACATGCATTTTACTGTAATGATTTCAAAATGCATGTTTTACTGCGGTACATGCGTCACATTAATTTTTGACTTTATCCCTAATTATTTTACCAATTTTCCCAACAACAGGCGGGACCACGTGCACCGTGTGTTATGTCAAGAATTTCAAGCCTTTTGGTGGTATAAATGACATCAAGCCCGACCTTTCGATACTGCTTCGATTTCTCGAAATTCATGATCGATCGAGACCCCACGTGGAGCACACCTTTTATTTTTTCAGTGTTTCCACTTCTTAAAATTAAATTTTCTTAGAGTGGATATTTTTTTAAAATTTTCTGAAATTTCCTTACATTTTTCTTTGAATTTCTTTATTTTTTCCTTAAACAATGCATTTGAATCAACTCTGTTTTTCAAAAAATGAATCGTGCGGTGATTGCAGCAGCCACGTATACATTTTTTAGATCACTGAGGCCTAAAGTGACGAACCACGACAATAATGCTGATAGCAGCCTAGGCTATACTGGTTACCGTATCTTCGAACCTCTTTAATTTGGAAGAATCGAACTAGTCAAAACAGCCGCGAATACTGCGCTTTAGGATGGCAACTTTCGCCGAATAGGCCCCAAGGGGCTGGGAAAAAACTATGTATGTTCATAGAGCAAGGACGGACGGTACTGTGACACCCAATCCCTGTTCTGAATTTGCCCGGCGGCATTTTCTATTGGAACACAACTGAAATCTAGTCTTTCATGATTTTCTTCTACATTCTAGAAATTTCTTTAAAATTTCCTTCAGATTTTGGGATTTTCCTTAAAATTTCCTTAAATTTTTCATTTCCTCAGAAATTTCCTTAGGACGTGAAAATTTCCTTAAATAAGGGAATTTCCTGAAAGTGGAAACACTCTGAGCTTTAGTTTTACCCCTGCGCACGTTGATATTTTCTTGGTGGCGCTATTTATCTCGATTTCGCGCCCTCTGTCGGGTCAAAGGTGAAATCAGGTCCATGGTGAACTCTGACATTATTTTTTCGCTAAAGCGATTCAATATCCATCGTGCTCACGACTCGTCTTTCCTGGATATAGAAGTGCATTTGAAGCCTTATTTTATATTGAAAATGGCCTACAACTACGTAGTTACAGCACATAAACCTACTGCTGTCAATGCATGTGTCACAGGTACGATGGTTGTGAAGAACGCTGTCTCTATCTTGTAACCATAAACCACTGCATCTTTGACTTCGTGCACGTTACTTACATGACTTAACCATGTTGTTAGGCCTGACTTGTATACTTACTAGGCCTAAGCATTTATTTAAGTACATGTACTCTATTACTCACATCAAAGGAAAGACGCCTATTTCCGACATAGCACGGGATTTAGTGAAGTTTAATTAATTTTTTTTTTATGTCGATGCGGAGGTCAAAGCGATGAATATGAATATCAATTATCACCAGTGTTACCTTCAACATGTTCAAATGGTTCAGTTACAGCATGTAGAGGCAGGTGTAACCTGCCATGCCTTGCACCATAAAGCGTGTCCTCCATCCATCATGGACACACCTCACACATGTGTAGTCTATCACTGATCATGTTTATTGTTGATGGTTTGGATGGATATTACTTCCAGAAATGTAAGGTTTATAACAAACCTTACAGGAAGAAATTGCAGAATACCCCGCCACTCAAAAAAAACTGACTGCTGGAATGACTGGTTACGTGGGTACGAGGTAAAAATCCCTTGTCCTTTAAAAGGACCTGTACCTGGCTATGAGGTTGATCATGCATAGTGGCGGGGTATTCTGCACTTGAGCTCCTAAGTTACAGAAAGTTTTGTTCAAACTACACACTCCCATAAATAAATAATTTTGGGGTAAACTCAAGCTAAGCTCCTCTGAAAACTGCTGCAGTAGTTGCCATATTCCTCTGGCCATCGCGTCCTGGATGATGCCATCTAGACTTCCTTGTTAACTCCTGTTGAGTGTATGTTTACTTAACTTCAGTGCGCAGACAGATCGTTGTTGTTATTCAAGTCATTCAACTGCATAGTTTGGGCCTGTTTGGTCAGTTTGCACAACCGCTTAATCTTTGCGTGATCTCTCGAACTACATGTATGTGCTAGATTTACCAATAATTCTTTTAAAATTTGTGATTGTAGAAGATTGTCTTGAAAAGGGCATGTGAAGTGGGAGAATTCATACAGGATCAATATCATAAGCAATCATGCTGATTGACTGATTGCACCAAGCTAGCTAGTCTTTGAAAAGGTCAGGTAAAAATTATAATTGTAAAATCATCCTCCAGTGTACACCGTTTCTTTTTTTCTTTCTTCCACATTATTTTCAGGTAATTTTACATCTCCTGATGACCTGAATCTTATTGTTGCTAAGAACACTCGGCTTGAGATCTACGTGGTAACACCTGAAGGTCTTCGACCTGTCAAGGAGATTGGAATCAATGGACGGATTGAGGTCATGGAACTCTTCAAGCCGCAGGTAAACCTCCAGAGCTTCTTTACTTTCTTGTCTAATAAAATTCATCTCAAAGTTATTGTCTCTGGTTTGAAATGAAAAGTATCAGAGGAATCTTCCTAGGAGTGGATGCTGTGTGTATGTAAGTTTGATATGCTAGCTGGCTAAAGACATGGCATGTAACTTGTGTTGATTTACTTCAGGGTCAGAACAAATCCTTGCTGTTCATCCTGACGGCACGCTACAATGCCTGCATCCTGGAGTATGTTAAAGATGGTGAAAATGAAGAGATTGTGACCAAAGCACATGGCAATGTTCAGGTGAGTTGTACAGGGTGGTCCCCATCATCTAAGCCTCCTTCTTTTTTACATTTCCCATAAAAGTATGCTAAAGAATCGTCATTACTGACAGACTAGTTGAAAAAAGTTTATCAGTTAGAGGGTGTGATGTCTCTATCCCAGTAGGGTCTTCCTTAAAGGAAATGAGAAAATTTCTACATTAGAGAAATATTCTACTAGTATTGAAATCTCAACATCTAACGTTGAGATTCATGAGGTCACTGCACTCAGAAGCAGTTTGCCGCAGTGTTGATCATTTCTTTTCCAAGAAATTCACTTTACTGATTTTTTTGTCATGGAATTTTACATTTAATTTTGTAGGATCGCATAGGCAGACCATCAGAGACTGGACTTATCGGCATTGTGGATCCCGAGTGCCGTGTCATTGGCTTGCGACTCTATGATGGCCTCTTCAAAGTTGTTCCACTTGACAGAGACAACAAAGAGTTGAAAGCTTTCAATATCAGGTACTTACAGCAACCGTTGCAGAAGCAATTCTCTTTCAGTTGCTGACTAAATCAGTAAACAAGTATTTTGAACAGTCTCTGAATTTTAGTTTGCTTTTAAATTCATTTTTTCCTCTGTTCTTAGACTGGAGGAGTTGAACGTGATTGATGTCAAGTTTCTCCATGGTTGCCAAGTACCAACTATCGTATTTGTTCATCAGGTAAGAAGGCACTGGATTTGTAGGATTTACTTGTACATGTTTGTCAAAAGTTACTCCCCCCAGATGCATCACCAATTACAGGTGAGAAATATGATAAAACTGAGCTAAGTGAGCTAAGTCACTGAACAGGAAATGGAAAGGATATGTTCAAATTGTTTTAAACATTTCCCTTTGCACCGGTGTAAGTTTCAACAGGAAGTTTAGGTGTATATACAAAAGATGCAATTTTTTTTGTGAAACTTCACTTGTGGACAATCCAGTTTGGCAATTTTTTATAATTGATCTCTTTATCCATGTTCCAGGACCCCCATGGCAGGCACGTGAAAACCTATGAGATCAACTTGAGAGAGAAGGAGTTTAATAAGGGGCCCTGGAAGCAGGATAATGTTGAGACAGAGGCCAGTATGGTTGTGGCTGTTCCTAAACCTTGTGGTGGTGCTCTTATCATCGGACAGGAGTCTATCACTTACCACAATGGGGATAAATACGTTGCGATTGCGCCACCTAGCATAAAGGTATTGCATCATTCAAACATTACCCTTGGCTTTTGCCCATGCACAGTTAAAAATACAATCAAATTACCCTCAGTCGACAAATGAGAAGTCTACACAGGGCCCTCGTCAGTTCATGCACAGATCCAATCAATTACAAATACGAACTTGAGCAGAAACTGATTTCGTGGATGTGTTGAGGGCACAATCAACTGAGAGTCAGTGTAATTTTTTACGTGTAGTATATGGACTGATTTCAGTTTTGTATTCAACAAGATTGTCCTTGATTCATTTGCTTGCCTAAAGATTGGGGAATTTGACCCCTGGGTCATTACATTACATTACATTAAATTTTCAATATGATTTGTATCAGGCAAGTACGCTGGTGTGTCATGGACGGTTGGACTCTGACGGCTCACGCTACCTGCTGGGTGACATGGCTGGCAGATTGTTCCTCTTACATCTTGAGAAGGAAGAATCGATGGATGGCTCGGTCATCGTCAAGGATCTGAAGGTTGAGCTACTCGGAGAGGTAAGTGGTATGGAGGGGCACAGCGTGGCTCGTACAACTGCTACAATCAGGATTTGAAATTTGGATATGATATTTGCATGGTCAGTAGTCCATCGACTGCTCCAATCAGATGCTGTCTGTTG